GTCTGATGTGCTTACAGGCTCTGTGATGCTCGCTGTAAAACAGCAAAAAAGAGGGAAATGGACCCTGGGTCTATACAAGATACTAATACATATGCTGTTGTTTGTTTCCATATGGAATGTGCCCGAAGAGGATGTTAAGAGTAATATCTTAATCTCTACCCGGAAAGACATTATCTGTGGCTTCTTTCTTCTAACTTTGTTCTTTATTTTCAAATAATTGTAGGTGGGAGTTTATTGGATGGGATGTCTGCATGGATATCCTTGAGACCAGCTTGGATAATGCCATGGAAACCAATGAGTCCCCAGCTCCAGCCTCCACACCAAAATCCAGTGGAATCCAGCCCTTGAATGCATGCATAGAAAGATTTCCTGTAGGTAAGATGATGTCACATAGGGTGTTATGCCTGATCTAAACTCCCTCTCTCTTTGTAAATAAATGTGAGGATTTAGATGATTGTTAATTTGATCATTGCCTTTACCATAATTTCACCCTCATGCACCCTTCCCAATTATAATCTACTGTCAGAACTGCAATTTGCAGCCTTTTCCCCTTTGGTATAAAGTTTATAGTTAGTGAATGTTAATATAGTTGTAACTTCAACCAGTGAAGAGGTGTATTCTGGGAGCAAGGGAGAATACAGGCCCAACAATTGTCTATCTAGGGCAATTATTTTAAGATAAATTTGAAGGCCTCTACATTCTACAATGTTTCATATGATTAATCCAAGACTAGTCAAAGAAGAAAGAATAATAAAAGAAAGAACAATATTGTTGTTCCCTGAGCCTCTGAATAGTGTCAGGATAAATTTTGAATACACGAGTTTGTTTCCTCCTCATATGCTAGAAGCTTCTGCTGCCTGATTTTGGCAATTTAGGAGTTCCTGTCCTTGTTGGCCTTTCATGCACACCAGTATACTGAAATTTTTGAATGGGAACTCAGTGTCTCTGGAACTGTGATTGTCTGTCTCAAATGTATGTTAACTAAATTATTCAAAAGACAAATAGAACATCTCTTTAAAGTGATTTCTTTCAGTCAAATCAAGCAATTTCTCATTAAAAGCAAGCTTTGTGATTATACAGTAAAAAAAAAAAAAGACTGTTAAACCAGTCTCATGGAGGTGGTCTTTTTAAAATGTCATTTGCTTTTATCTGCTGGATAAAGAAAGAAAAACATCTGCTTTAGAATACATTGTATCCCTATTAGTAAGATCCTGGCCCTTTTGATTCATATTTATATTTATTTATAATATTGTGCTAGACATTCTGGAATATATTTTTAAAGTGGTTCATGGGAGGCTGACACACAAGTTAGACATCGGCCTGAGTCACAAAGTTTGTATTTGTAATCTGATCTGAATCCAAACTTCCCTAAATGCTAGCTCTGGATTAGCAGAGGCATTGCTTGGATTTGGTTTGACTCATTGTGGACAGAAGCCCACATCATGAATTCTGGATCCAAAAGTAAAATTCCCCCTACTATGGGAGGCCAGGATCCAGAGTTATGAATGTATTGTGCCTATTTATTTTCAATCTTAACTTTAGCTACTTTATAGAGAAATGCTGCATGATAACCATAACTTAAAAATGTAATCTTTAAAAGCACATTTTATATTTTTTTCTTATGAAAATCCTATAAAATGACCTACCACATTAAATTATCCTGATGTAATATAAATGGATGAACAAACATGTATAATTTGAAATATTTGTTCTTCACAGTACTATTCACTTAAGGTCTTTTAAGAACATTCTGAATCTTCTCCCCTCCCCCCCCCGCCCCCGGCTATATTATAACTGCGACAAGCTAATCTGACTTTATAAATCTTACTGGCTCCAGGGGAACATTGCAGGGGAGGAGTTTTTTATTGGCTGCTGGTGTGAACAGTTTAAAGTAGAGAAGAGATTGCTCTCAAAGAAAATGCAACAAAGAATAAGCTTAATCTAGATCCGTGGTTCTCAAACTTTTTTTTTTCCTGGACCACTTGAAAATGGCTGGGGGTTTCAGGGGAGCACTTAATGATCTTTCCAAATTTTGTTTGTACCATTAGCTAACTATTGTAAAGCACTTTGAATAAAAGCGCTATATAAAAAATCCTTAATAATAATAAACATTTTTGGTTCTACAAATAAAAGCACACAACTCATATTTTAATGTCAGTAGTCTTACCTTTCTAATGCAATGGATGTGCCCTCTCTACCCCACTGCGGCAGCCCCCAAACTAGAGCTGAGAAGGAGGGGGGTCTCTCCCTCTGTCCCCCACTGCGGCAGCCCCTGAGCTGAGGCTGGGAAGGAGGGCCATGTCTCCCTGGCAGCTGCAGTCCTGGAGCTGGGGAAAGTCATCATTTTCTCTGGCTGCTGCAGTCCTGTACATCCCAAATTCCCCCCCCCCCCGTCTCACCCCACTGCTGCCTCCCACCTACCCTCTATTCCCAAGGCCTCACCTTACATGTGCATCTTCTCCAGGGTCCAGGCACCTAATTCTCTCATGTGCGGCTGTCCAGGTGCGCACCTTAGAGGGAACTATCCGCGGACCACCTGAATGGAGCTCATGGACCACCGGTGGTCTGCAGACCACAGTTTGAGAACCACTAATCTAGATGATGAAATGGTAGATAGACTGAAGAAAATCTAAGCCACTACCTGAGAGTCTGACCCATGCCCATCTTGGATGGCGAAAGATAAAAATACTTGGCCCCTCTATTAACACTGATTTGTCAGTGCTTTCCTCCAAAGGGCTGTTTATTAGCCACCTTAAAATGCACAGTTCTGATCTAGTATTCAAGAAATACTCTCAATACTCCCAATTCTGCCTCAGGCTCCAAGGCTCCATTTCTCCTTCCTTCTCTTCAACACTTATGGCAAGCTCCTGGGAAGATCATAAGATGCCATAGATTTAAATTGCAGTGTTAAGCAAATGATGTTCAGTTATATTCCTTCATATCAAATGCTAAGCTATCCCAATGCATGAATGAACTCAGCTCCTGAAAGAAGAGCAACTGAATAAAGTTAAACCCATTTGTTTGCTCTCCATCCCCTCACCCTTTGTAGTTACCTGAATGGAGCTCATGGCTTTCTCCCTGCACCATTCTGAACTCAGTCATCATGCTTTATTCCTGTGACAGAGTGCTCTGAGTCAGGTACCACATTATCCATTTCATTCTCCTTTCCTTCCCTTGTCAGATTGGAGTGAATTACTTCCAAACAGTGCATAGCAAAGTTCATTAGAAAAAGTAAAGAAAATCACGTAAAATGTTATAGCATAAAATCACATCTTGTGTAAATTTGGGTAACAGCCTAGTAATATCAGCACATATACATAGACACAGGTAAGTAATTCAGAGAATAAAAGAATGTTACATTCTGTCTCTCTCCCATTCTGTTGGAGTCTTTGCGTGTCTCTTAACATTGCAGCATTTCAGAGGCTCTCAGGCACAGCAGAAGTCACTGAGTAAGTATTGTTTCCACCCACTCCTGTCTTAGAGGGTCCTGTCAAATATACATTGGAGAATCTTAGAAGTAACTTAGAAATGTTGTGATCCTTTATTGCCTTACTCAGTTGTATGATGCATTTGCAGTTATTATTCAGCCCCCAGCTATGGAGTCATACTACTGCGGTAGCTGTTGTGTTCTGAGAGAGGCAATATATTTGCCTAGGTGCAATCTCTGGGACATAAATTAATCCATGTCCCCTTCCCTAGAATGGTTGCCTTTCTATGCCACATTTATTTAAAAAATAACCAAAACCAATCCCATCCCAGAGATATAGTTATTTCTTCAATTCTCATTCAACTCTCCTAGCATCTCAAATGATCCTTTGCTGCCACATGTACATTCACCTACTTATTTTCCTCTATACAAGCTCTCTCTCATTATTCCCACACAGTGTTTCTATAGGCTACTGAATCTAGTCCAAGAAACCATGTAAATATTCCTTGTCCTAGCCAGAAGTGTGATGCTCTCATCTGTGGTTAAAATTCTTTTCCATTCATCATCTTGGCCTGGACTGTCTTTCTAGGTCAAGGATCTCACAGTCTCTAAATGCTTGGGGTTTTTTGTTTGTTTGTTTTGTTTTCTGATAATTTAAACTGAACTTTTAAATGGGATCTTGCTATGGGTCTGTTTTATCTTGGGTGTCCTATCACCCTTTGAAAATTAACCTTTTTTCATGGAATCAAATTCTATGGCTTCTTCTGGGAAGATCTGATATCAGGATTGGCAGGTTGGGATGGCCACGAAAAGAAATGTATCTTAATAGGCTCCGTTAACAATGTGAACATGTTTGAAGCAGTACACAGAGCTGACCGGATCCCAGACAAACATTGTTTTATTTCCTGTCAGTCATGCTCTCTGTCACACACTTTCAACTGTTTATTTTTGGCGGGGTTTTACATCATTTGCAAGGGGGGTGGGAGTCGATGTAACTGTATTCATAAAAATACACCTAGTTCGAAGAGCCTGCGGACATGCAAAGTCATGTGAAGCAGCAAACACGTCTATCTGAGCGCTTTAGTACTGGGTAGACTTGAACATCTCTGCAGATTTAGAAGCAAACGCTGCAGCTTAGCTGCGGGTGGGGGGATCCTCAATGCTGTTGGATTTTGAAACGAAGACAAAAATGCCCCCATTTTCTCCTCTCGCTCTTTCCTCTACCTGTGCTAAATGGGCGGGATTTTAAGGGCTCTCCCCTTCTTCCTTCATCTCTTCACTTTTGCACCCTCCCCTTATGGACAATTGCCTCTCCCACTCTGGGAGAGGAGACCTCCCCGAGCCCATCCATTGCCCACTTCACTGTCTGCTTATGCTCCCCTTCACTCCCCTCATCTCCCCCCCTTTTTTTTTTTTTGCTCCCCATCCTCGCTCCCCTGCTTTTGCTCCTCTGTCCCCCTCCCCAGGTCGCTCCCCCCCCCCAGCGTTCGCGCCCCTCGCGCTGTTTCTAGCCCCCCGCCGCTGTTGCTCCTCGGGAGCCGATTCCAGGGGCAGGTGAGGGCAGCCGCCCCCGCGTGCGCATGCTCCGCTCAGCTGCCAGGCATGCTCAAACCCCGATGGGGCGGAGAATCTGACACGGCCGGCGGATCGCGGCTGCCCCAGTCCCCGGCCAGCACCATGCGGGGGCCAGGCGCCTGCTTCCCCGTCGCGTGCCTGCTGCTCCAGCTCCAGGCGGCAGGTAAGCGGCCACGCTGGGGGTTGTTGCTGGGGGCAGGCGCGGCAAGCGCGGCCGCGCTGCCCAGGGGACGGAGCTCTGGGGAGCGCCCCCGTCATCTGAGCGAGGGGAGACCTGCGTGTTCCCGACCAGCGCCCGCTCCTGGAGCTGCTCCCAGCACCTGCTGTTGCCGGGCAATGGCAAGGGCCGGGGCGAAATGCCCCCATGCCACAGGTAGCGGCTCGGCAGTGTCAGAGCCTTGCTGCGGGTAACAGCGGTGCTTGCGTTAGTCTACACGGGGAGTTTCTTCCACCGCCCCCCCCCCCAGCATTAACACGGCTGTAGCTTTGCACACCCTCAAGCACGTGGCGGGGAGGGAGGGGCAGGAGCAATGGTTAATCTAGCGCCTGCAATCATTAGCTGCGGCGTCTTCCCTCTTTGGGGCTGGGGAGGGCTCAAGTGGAAGCTCCACCGACGCCTTTGAGGGGGATGCAACGGGCCGAACTAATGGCTCCGAGCAGGTAGCCGGGGAGATTCCGCGGCCTCCTTGGCCAGTTCCCTTGTCCATGAAGTGCCCTCCGCCAATAGAGCAGCGCAGGTCTGGGGGCCGGGGCGGGAGTGTTTCAGCACCGTGTGTGTCTTTCAGCACCATGGTCAGCAACCACCGGCATAAACACAACGGCAAAGCTGGAGCGTTGTTAAGAGGCCAAATGTCACTTGAGGTGACTCGGTCGCTGTAGCAGTCGGTATCCTCAACAGGGTTGCTAATAATTAAAAACAAAAGCACGGTTAAATGGCACCGCGTGCAAGCCCTCAGCTGTTGCCACTTCAGGCACTCTAACGCGCACGGATACTGCCTATTTTTCTCGGTCACTATTGCCCTGGGATTTGGAGCACGAGCCACGCAGGTTTCTAAATATTTTAGAATGATGCAAGTTTTTTTTAAAAAAAAAAAAACATTTAGCATCTTTTAAAATTGACACTTGAATTCAAGCGTCGAAACAGGATTTTAGACTGCAAAATTTCAGCTGCGACAGCAGTCATTTGTACAGTAGTCCTGTAGCTGTATTAGTAAATCCTCTCACTGCTTAGCTAGCAAAATGTGGGCATCATTCAGAAATGTGGTTAACGAAGAACTATATTACATAGAGCTTTTCAGTTCAAGCGTCAGTTTCACTTTGATAATCATTTGCTGTATTTCTTCAGTAAAAGAAGGATATGGCTTAATCGGTGTAAAAACTGCCCTTTCTCCTGAGTCCTTTCCCCCACTTCTCATCATGTTAACCTACATTCTCACTCTTTTAGAAGGAAAGTAAATTGGTGCTGAAGGTGTAATTAAATGTAGTTCGTAATTAATATCACTGAAGTGTCTCTGTGTTTGCAGAGTACTGCTGTATCTCTACTTCTGAGATAGAAAATGGCTGTTGCACCCTGCTTATAACTTAACATAAGTCCATTACAACCTCCCTTTGTATATGTATAGAAAGGTATAACAAAATACAATGGCTGAAAGGTGAAGCTAGACAAATTCTGTCTGCAAATAAGACATACATTTTTAACAGTGAGAGTAATTAACCATTGGGACAATTTACCAAGGGTTGTGGTGATTTCTCCATCATTGACAATTTTTAAATCAATTGGATGTTTTTTCTAAAAGATCTGTTCTAGGAATTATTTTGGGGAAGTTCTATGGCTTGTGCCATACAGAAGGTCAGACTAGATGATCACAATGGTCCCTTCTGGTCTGGCAATCTATGAATGACTCTATGAATATGTGAATACATATACAGTCTTTTGCTGCCACAAACCATCTTTTTGGAGAGTGTTTCAGTATTCCATTAACTTGAACTGTTTTATTATGGGATAAAAGGTTTTAGAAGCATATCAGGGTTAAGTAATACCACTAGAAATGTAACATGGTAATAAATAATTAATGGTTATCAGGTTATGATAATAGTGTATACATTATTTAATATGCTAGATAAATGGGCATGGCATCATCTTGTTTAATCTAGTCACAAGAAATTGTTACCATCAGTTATTAGTACTTCACTCTTAAGGTAAATCAGACTATCTTCGACAAGATTTCAACCATGTCTTATTCCTTTGTATTTATGGTTGCTTAGGAGAGTCATGTATTGCTATTTTACACAATGTGTGTGACAAAGATTACAGACTAAAGGATAAGGAGCATTTTGAAATCCATTTTGTGAAAATCCTTAAGATGCTTTTAGGTTGTTCTTTTACAAAAATATACATTAAAATGATCATTTGTGTAAAATTAGTTTACAACTGTTATTTGTCATAACATGCCTTCTAAATCTTCATTTATCCACTATTAATTCTAAATTGCACAGACTACCTTAGTCTTTCCATCATACTAATGGAAACTGGTTTAACTAAAATGTACAATTGCCTTGGTATGTTTAACTTGTTTTATTAAGTTAATTGGAATGTTTGTATATGAAAGTTAGCCTTTAATCTAAAAATCTTCAATAATCACAAAAATGGAGAAAACAACACAGACCCATACATTGCTATCTTGTTTCCCATGCAATTCTGGTGAATAATCACTTTAGAAAAATGAGTATTAAAATCCAAAAAGTGACCCATTCAGTCTTATAATGTGTATAGCTCCCATCAAAGATGAGAGCTGTGCCTTCTCCAGCCAGGACTGCATGGAGTTTTCTGTTACTAGTCTTGTATCATTCAAGACACTACACTACTGAGCTTCCTGACTTTTACTATCATAGTAAACTTAACCTTAAGCAGTTAAGAGCTCTGTCACTTTCACTTGAAGTGAAAGATGAATTAGTCATTTGGTTCATTCTGGAGCTTTCTATGGAGCACAGTCTACAGGTGTGACTTATGAATGGTGATTTAGTGATAAGAGTTCATCTGGTAACATAAAAATGTATTTCACTTACCATTACTGATTGGTCAGAAGTTATGTGGTGTTTGTCATTTTGTTTTGCTCTGTGGTTGAAACTACTTGGCTTTTCATATATGCCTTTGTTCCAAAATTCAAAATACATGAAGCCAACTTCTGTGTAGGAGGATGCTAAGATATCCATCGGCAGATGCACTAACAATATCTTCCCTAATATCAGTTGATGTTAATAGGTTTTAGAAAAAATATGATTTTGTATTTAATTGAGATATTACTACAACAAGGAGGTATTGATTCTGTAATGGGTTTAAAGCAATTCTTTGTAACTGAAAGGTATTATACTGCATATTGGAGAAATGAGTTTGCCATGGAAAGGCTGTTCCATTACCATTGTGCTCCAATATCAGGATATGTATTTGCAAAGAAGCTGACATTTTTTCACCATAAAAGAATCTCAAATTTCCATATTTGTTTTTTTTTAAAAGATCAATTTAATTCAGTTTAGATGTTGTTGTCAACAAAACATTACAGCTGTGTAGAAAGCAAATCAAATCTAGTTATGCTCTCAGATACACCTCTGCAATTTCCACTGAAGTCAATGTAGAATTAGGGCCTTTATGGACCCAGAGTTGCATTGGGCAATGTGCAAGAGCAGAAATCTGCTTGCACAGAGCTGTCAGAGCTGGAGTAGGGCCTACATTTGTACTAAGTGATTACAAATCACTATGAACCTTTAGCTGCTATTATGTTTTGAAGAAAAGGGCAAGATAGAGTAATGGCATAGGTTATTTGCTAGTAGGTATGATATAGTGCACATTTTTGCAACAAAAAGTTAGTATCTCTCGAGACTACCAGAAACAATTGTTATTTTGGTGAAATAATGTTAGGTGGTAGTGAGAACACGTAGGTGATGCACCAAAATAAGCTTATAATTAGAACTAGTGAACAGTGGTTCTGGACCAATTTTATAGTGGTGGTGCTGAACGCCACTGAATCAAACTGTAAACCCTGTATATGATGGAAACCGCTTCAAGCCAGGGGGTGAGGGAGCACCCCCAGCAGTCCTAGTTCCAGCATCTATGCTAGTGAACCATTGGTGTTACCTAGGTTACTGAACTAATTAACTATTTAACTTCATTGTCTTTTCATGAATTCCATGAACAGGCTTAAAATATACAAACAAAGAATAAAATATACAGTCACTGTAAATGGCCCAAGCAAAACCATCTAGACTGGAATAAAACCTACTCAAATAATAACCTCCATATCAACCATCCATATGTCTTTTATCAAAATATTGAGAGAGAAAGTGATTTTTGCAGAAAGTCCTAGAGGTTAACAAATGGAGGCCCATGGAGCCAAACAATTGTAAGTAAGACTTGGTAGAATTGTCATCATTAAGACATGGTTTCTTGAGCAAAGGTCTCACAGCATCTTTCTTCAGGGCCACTGTTATTATTCCCTCCCATGAAGGAACACATTGACAATATAAAACATGGGACCAGTACTTCAGCAACCAGGAAAGACAAAGGTCCTACTCAGTCTTTTGCCAAAAGAGATCCCAGTGCCTCCAAAAGGTCATCTGAAACTCTAGTAGAAAAGACTGGCATGTATCCACTTGAGATACTGCTCAGGCCTGATCCAAACAGTTGTTACTGCAAAGTAACATGAAAATCACAGTGGAATTTTGCAGGTGCGGAGAAACTTAAACAAAGTGTGCTAGATTGTGTGCAATGCATATGAAAATAGACTTGGAATGAACATCTACTCCTCCCTGCTAGTTTGTAATGGAAAGTGTCTTTCAAAATGGAAGTTTACCTGTGTAGCATATCCAGTCAAAAATATTGAGGTGTATTCTCCTTTGGAATGCCTTCATAACACCACATGTCATATTGAGAACACATAATGTTTAATGTTAAATTTGGAAAACCAGTTCCTGCCAACTGTCCATACTCCATGTCTCCTGCAAAGGAAAGTGTGTGTCACGTTGAGCTGATGGAACTGCAAATACACCAGAGACAACATGGGGACCTTCCACTGGTGCAAATCACTGTAGTTCCAGTGGGAGTTGTGGTCAATAGATTTTTTTGAGATTCAAGTTAGAACTGTCAAATTAAAATATCTGATAAATTAG